AACAAACATATATCAATTCAATTAGAAATCTACGAATAACTGAAACAATCACACATATTTTTAAAACCCAATCCGTCTGTCCTGGCGCCCTTGGTTAATTAACGTGTACGGGTGCGTTAATTATGTAATATATTGAAAGTAGAACTGTATATCAAAATAAACTTCATTGAATTACCAAGCACTCAAGTATCTAATATTGCACTTTGACTTTGTGGCTCGTGCGAGTTTTTTTTTTTTTTTTTTTTCTTCTCTGCTTTGTAACCACCTTTTTGCATTATTTAATGGTTGCACACAAAATTTCCGCCATTAATTAAATTTTTACTGCATTTGTTCGAAGGCAAATGGTGGCAATGGTTTTCGTGGTGGTGGTGGTGGATCTGGTGGTAGAATAGCTGTTTATTACAGACAAGGCCACTTTGATGGAACTTTACAAGCTTCTGGTGGTAATGGCCAAGCCGAATACGGAGCGGCTGGTACCGTGTTTGTTGAGAAAGGCGGGAACCTTAAGACAAGAGGAACAAGAACTCTAAATATAGATAACATGAAGAAGGCACCATCAAAAGGAAAAGTTAACCAGGTGAGACAACTGTGGCATGATGGCTGTCTTTGTTAAACGAACGAACGAACTTCTCCATAGTGCTCGTGCTTCTACCTACAATTACTGTATTACTTTCTGTGAAGACGGAAAAGGCTTGTCTGTTTCTTAAATTTGATATCTCACCGCTCAATCTTTTTTTCAGATCGAGAAGCTGAACCTTGACGACTCGGGAATTAGTAATATCGATAACACTCTGAAGTACATTTCCATAAATGGCATAGTTGCTACTTCGTCTCTGTCAAGTAATGCAGTGTCCAACCTTTTTAACACTAGCACACCGTTCGTAATAAGTAACCGTGACGTGGCATATGTTACAATAGATTTGCCCAGACCAACCTATGTTCATCATATTCGAATATACCCGGTGAGAATTACGAATTTTATAATACATTCGACAAAATTACTCGATTCTGATTGGACAAGAGGAGTACAATTAAATCCCAAATTGTACTCTGTAGAGTCCCAATTAAGTTGCTCAATTTTGTTGAGCAGAACATAAGTATAGACAAGTATTAGTAAAGAATAGCACCTATGAAACAATCGAAAACAAAAGGAATAGATGTTATTTAGCTTTTGTGTAATTTCATGGATATATCTTTGTTTGTGAAAACACTAGACTGATGTATGTGATTTAATAAGATGATTTCCGGTAAGAAAACATCGCACTTTAGACTGCAAGCTAAGTCCCTCTATTTCCCTTGGTCACCGTCCGTCTGTCTGTCCGTGTCGATTCGTCGAGGAAGATTGGTTGGGAGTCAAAAGTCCCTGGGGAAGGGGGCTGGGAGGGAGGGACGAAAGGAAAATATCGTAACCAATCTTCCTCGACCAATCGCGGCACGGACAGACAGACGGACGGGTGACCAAGGGAAATAGAGGGACTTAGCTCTCAGTCTAGTCACACTTCTCTTGACTTGACTTCTTTTTACTTCTTTTCTTTTTAGTATTGTATTGACGGATACAGAGTCCAATACTCTCTCAAATCTCGACGTCCTCAAGAGAAGAATCTGCAGTTACATGGTCAGCGTTGGTTTTCTGGCTGCTTCGATACTGGGATATATCATGACATTGACATAAGCGAAACAATCAATCAACTTCTATTAACTCTGACAAGGCTTAAGACGCACATTGCATTGAGTTTACTTGAAATCTATATTGGACAAGACGATCCATCAAATTTTGTTAGCAGTAACTTGGAACAAGACGCCTCTCGCACGTGGTTGGTATTTGATGATGTAAACCCATCGTACTTTGAAATCGATAGTCTTGATATTCGTGGAGATGCCCACCTCGGGTTGCAGAATGATAATGCCGACGTTAGCTTGTTGGTTAAGGAATATAAGGGTGACTCGAGTGGAACTTTTCATGTTGGACGAAGTCAATCAGTTAACTTTACTCTCAGTATCAGTTCGGTTATTCCCTTCAGTCTTCGTGCATATCAGGTGAGTTATTAATGATAGTTAAATACAGTAGTGAACTCCGCAGCCGTCACTAGCTTCGGTCCCAGATCATCACGTTCCCTCTCCTATAGATATAGAGGAGTGAAATGAAAACCAGTCTAATAGTTTGTGCAGAATGAGCCGCGCACTCTCTTTCACTTGAGACATTTTGATTAACTCAAGGTTCACAAGTACAAGAATTAATTGAGTTCAAGGACAAAAATATTTCTTTTTTGTCTTTCTTTTGTTGCACGGTTTGTGCTTGGGCTTGGAATCAAACTTTGTAGTACATTTGTCAAGTTAGTCAATACTCATTGTGATTGCCTACGGTTGCAGTTAAGAAAATTAATTCTACTGACATGTACTGTGCGAGTTAAAGCTAGGTTCACACTAGCGTCGTAAGCGTCGGAAGTGGAATCGGAAGCGCAAGAAGCTTACGATTTAGTGTCGGCGCTCGCTTCTTTGTTGTTCCCATAGTTACCAGGTTTGCCGCTAGTTTTTAAAATGGCGGGTGACATAAACGACGAAGATCATCTGTTGCTTTTGGTCGTTTTGCTCGTTGTTTGAGACGGCGACGACGAAGAAGATTAAAGTCCAGACCAAGAAGCTGCTGGGTGAAAAATATACATTCGAAACGAAAAATGTACGATGAATATTAGAGTCTTGTGAGAGAATTGAGAATTCACGATAGAGAAATGTTTTCTGCTCTGAATGGCCTGGGTATGAGCTCTGTCATTGGTCAAAGCTTCCGATTCCGATTCTTTGGTTCACACTGATCCATAAGCGTCATAATCGGAATCGGAGTCGGAAGAAAAAGAAAACCTGATCCTTCCGATTCCGCTTCCGTCACACTTCTGCCGATTATTGGTTCACACTAGATCGTACGCTCCTCTTACGACTCCGCTTCCGATTCCGCTTCCGATTTCGTCGCTAGTGTGAACCAGCCGTAAAAGTGCCCACGGGAAAAGCCAACACAGTTGCGCAAAAATGTTGCATTGCAGGTGGAAGAGGATGTGTTGTTATTGACCCTCCATGACCAAAATAGCGTATTGGTTGCAAACAGTAATAAAGAAAGGTTCTACTTTGTGCAACGACGGGAATAAGTTGCGCGCRAGATAACAGGAAAAAATAAATATGCGTTCTGCAATCTGTAACAAAACGAATACATCTAAACAAAATGTTTATTTTAGGGTTCCGAAGTAAGCCTTCCCAAGGAGCTTTACTTGCAAGAGACATCACTTTATGTCGAGTCAGAAGTAACAGGACTACAAGACCTGGTTGTCTCCTACAGTAGCACGCTGGACATAGCACCGCATGCTCGAATCAATTCCGCATCCCAAGGAAGCATCTCCATGCAGAGCATCATGATCCTGAATGGAGGACGGATACAACAGTCTGCATCAACTCCAATGGCTCTCACGTAAATATTTTAGTATCTCTATATTAAATACTGAATGTCTTGAATTCAGTGTGCGCAGCTGTGTTAACCCCAGTAGCCGCTAACGCAAATATCCTTCCAGTCTTCCAGTCCTCCCCCCCTCTCGTTACAAGCCCAACTCTGGTATTCCGTGTTTGTTTCGTTGATGCACATAAAAGATTGACTGTGAAGATAACGGAAATAAGGAAAAGCTACCTCTTTTCGTCCCGATTTATAAGCCTCCCCCCCTCCCTCAAGTATAAACCTTCTTGCTTATAAGCTCACACGGTTAAAATCCTCTGGGTTAAAAACCATTACAAATGAGAATATTATAAGCCCAGGGCTTATGATCGCAATAAATTAAAATACAGTATGATAATGTTTTTTCCAGCGAGTAAATATGTGACCAACGCATTTGCCTTAGGCTTTTGTATTTAAATATTTTGTGACTGATGTTCTCATCGTTGTCGCTAAGAAAACGATTGTTTTTTAATAACAGGATATCCCTCGCGAAGGAACTAAGGATTAACGCGTTCGCAGTAATGAACGTCAGTATTCTTAACCTCACCGCCGGTAACGTTTACATCGATGTCTCAGCAGTACTTACTGCCCATGCGCGGGGATTCTCTTCCGGTCTGGGTCGAGAACCAGGAGTTTCATCAACTTCAAGTGCATCTGGAGCAGGTCATGGTGGTGCAGGAGGAAGAGGAGCAGGACAGCCAACAGTTGGAAAAGCCTATGGAATTCTAGATAAACCAACCGATCCTGGCAGCGGTGGTGGTCAGGGTTTTAAAGACATGGTCAGTAAAATTAAGCTTTACCTAAGCAAAACACTTTAACATGTTTCTATTTATGGGCTGTTCCAGGCTGCATAAGAATTTAGCGCCGCAACAATAATCCAAGCCAATCAAAGAAAATAATCATTAGAGCAAACTGTTAAAGCTTGAAAATGCCGTGCGTAATTTGCAAAGAGTAGCAGAGATGTGTGCGTTTTGATATGACCGTTAAATACGAATAATTTGTCTAGCGTTTGTTATTTTATAAAAGAAATAGAAAACATTTTTCCGTTTTTGATACCCTGATCAAAACACAGAACACGAGAGAAGCTGGAAACTATACTTCACATTACGTCACTGAGCATCCCGCCTGTTTTTAATAATCAAAACGTCATTAATAATTACATTTTTCATCTTAGCCCGGCAGTGCTGGTGGCGGTGTAGTGATGATCACATCTAAAGGTACTGTCCAGAACGATGGTCTTATCGATGCGTCGGCTGCATCAGCTTCTTTTGAAGGCACCGGAGGAGGAAGCGGCGGAAGTATCCACATTCGTTGTGACCTCTTTACTGGAAAAGGTACTTTCCCTTATGACTTAACACTACCAATCATTATATTTTGCAACGAAAAGAAATTCGAAAATTAAATGTCTCTTAAACTTTTAAAGGACAAATCGTAACCATGTCTTGAAATATCACTTGGCATTTTATTTACAGTGAAATTCTTTATATCGCGATCTGTCCGCGCGCGGCTTCGTTTTTCAAACAACATTATTAAATGCATTCACCCAGTTTCGCCATACATCACGTAACTGATAAAACGCAAAAACGCAAAAGCAAAAATATGTTCTAATGGGAATGTACCCACTTTGACGTATTCCATTATAGTCATTGCCTATCTCATTTATCAAAGAACGACGCCATTACTCGCGAAAATAACTCACTACCTTGTTTATCAAAGCCAAAGAGAACAAATATAAATACTGTTGCCCACACATACAGGCATTCTACAATCCCATTTTAAAAGTTACACTAGTGATGTTGGCTTTGCTAGGGTAAACATTTTAACGTATTTTTGGAATAAGACTTTTTTATCTATATTTTTTTCTTATTTGACTATCTCAGGTCAATTCTTGGCTAACGGAGGCAAAGTTGCTAGCTCTAGTATCAATACTGACGGAGGAGGTGGTGGTGGTGGCCAAATTGCAATCCACTATCAAACATCCCGATTTAGCGGTGTTTACAAATCTCATGGAGGATTCAGCCGTACTCAACCAGGTGGCCCTGGACAAGTATTCCTTGCAAGCAACCGGACGCACCGCACTCTCATTATTGATAACAACGGTTACCGCACAGATCAGCTATATATATCAGACTACAAAGATGTTTCTAACGATGGTGGGCGAGCTTGGCTATTTTTGGAATATTTTAAAGAGTTCACCGTTGAACATATGATTCTCAAAGGAGGAGGTATGGTTCTGAAGGGGGCGGGGACTTTGCGGGGGCGCTGAATGTGATGTCCGGTTACAGTCGGGTACCTGTAGTGCGCAAGAGATTGAACAATATCTTGGCATCCGGCCAACTTGATTAGTGTGTGTTTATTTTGTGTATTTTACCTTTATTCCTTTACGATCTGATCTCTTTTCATCTGATCTCATTTTATCCGATCTTATCTCTTTTAATTTCTCCCATCTTGTTTCATTCCGTATCATCATATCCCTTATTTTTTCTTGTTTTTTCTCTTTCTTAAAGGGCCACTTGGACGAAAAT